TGCTTTCCAGAGGGTAAACAATTTTCTCTTGAGCCAACAATGCTCGAGCAAATCGATGATCAAATAAACCACATACACTGAGAAAATATAAGGCATAGTTTTATTTGTTCTGTGATGGTGTGGAAAGCACACACTTCTCTCAGGCTAGGAAAAGAAAACGGAAATGGATTATGAGCATTCTAGCACAGAGGTAGGGCGTTTGCCTTGCACGCAGCCAACATGGCCGACCCGAGTTCGATTCCTCTGCCCCTCTCGGAGAGCCCGGCAAGCTACCGAGAGTCTCTTGCCCGCACGGCAGAGCCTGGCAAGCTACCCGTGACGTATTAGATATGCCAAACACAGTAACAACAAAGTCTCCAATGGAGACGTTACTGGGCCCGCTCGAGCAAATCGATGATCAACGGGAGGGCCTTTACCTTTACCTTTACCATCATGCTAATAGAGATCTATTGGACCAGAGAGATAGTTTAACGGATACTTTGCTCCATCCTTGCATATGGCCAACCCAGGTTTAATCCTCAGCACTGCAAATGGCCCCCTGAACATAGAGCCAGGAGTGACCTCTGAACACCACTGGGGGACCCCCTCCTCTTCCACCAAGAGACCCAGTGTTACCAAATCCAGGCAATCTTGTCCTGAGTATCCATACCCTCTACATAGTATCCATATCAGAGGGAAGAATGGAGATAATAAGATAATTACAGGACTGACATGGAGCAGGGAAAGGCCCAGGCCTGAAAGATGCTTAGTAGCTGTGCCAACTGTAATGGTCCCCTACACAAACGAGGTCCTAATCTCTGTGATTTGTGTTACCCTACTTAGAAAAGGGTCTCTGCAGATGGAGTTATGATGTTGAGATAGGAGATCTCATGCTGATGGGCTCTAAGCATTTGCACTCACCATTGTCATTATAGAACAGGCAGGCACCATGTGACACCCCCCGCCCTACTCCCACACTCAAAGGGGAGCAGGCAGGGTGACGGTGAAGAGAGACTAGAGACACAGAAGCAGGGTGCCAGCCACCTTCTCTTCTCCAGGAGAATCAAGGAAGCCAGGAGTGGATCGTCCCCTCCAACTTCGGAGGGAATGTGGCGCTGCACAGCTACATTTTGATCCAGTAAATCTGAGTTCAGACTTTAAAGAGAACATTTCTCACAGTGGGAGGCTGGCAGCCATTTACTTTGTGGTAATTTGTGATAAGAGCCACAGGAAATGACCTTGAGAGCTTGTTTGGAGGTTCTAAGCAGGGGAACACAGTGACTTACATACCTTCAATGGTCTAGTCCATCTCTATCCAGGGTTGGCTGTCCTCTTGACGGAGTCACAGTTTTGGGAGGGACTCACATAGAGCAGTGAGGGAGAATGGGGACACATGCCTCACTAGCCAGATCAGTCAAATCAACCCTGATGATCAATGGTGTGACAGATGTTGCAGTCAAATGGCCCTCTCATCCATCCACAGGAAATGAATACATTTCCCCTGTGTGGCAACCCAAATTTCAGTTTCGATAGTTGTCACCTCCTTTTTTTTTTCTGGCACATTCAAGGATTTCTCAGAATATCCTAATATATGTTGAGTGTCTACTCAGCAGTGAACCATGACAAAGTTTTATGCAATAGCTAATCTCTTGATCACTTGACATCCCGTTACTCATCTATTTGCTCGAGTGGGCGCCAGTAACGTCTCCATTCGTCCCTGTCGCATGCTAGTGTAGCCCAGTGGCGTCTGCTCGTTCTAAGAACAAGAAGAGCCTCAAACCGATCATTCAGGGTCTTGATGAAGTCTGACCATCTAGTATGTGGGCGGCCACGCAATCTTTTGATGTCCCGTGGAATCCAGTCGGTAATGGCTCTAGTCCAGCGGTCGTCTCCAAATCTCATTACGTGTACAGCCATCTGATTTTCGATGCCTTGGCAAACGAGACAGCATCCCTGATTCTTGACCGTTGACAGAGATCTGAACTCCAGATTCTTTATCTCATTTGAGTGGAGCATGATACTCCAAGTATAGCTCTTTCGATTTCTCTTTGGGAGACCCGAAGAGTGTTCTCATCCTGTTTTCATAGGGCCCACGTCTCTGAGGCGTATGTTAATACAGGAAGAACAGTGGAATTGAAGAGATGTGCCCGGAGCTGGAGGTTCTTCATCCTCTTAGCTATTTCTTCGACGTTCTTGAAGGCATTCCAAGCCGCTCTCTTCCTCCTGCGCAACTCAGGTGCCAGGTCATTCATCATGTTGACTTCTCAACCTAGGTACACATAACTGTTGCATTCAGAGATGTTCATTTCGTTGAGAGTGAATGAAACGTCAGGAATGAGATCGTTTCTCATAAAACATTCATGAGATTCAGCTGTAGTCCGACCTTTCCACACTCACAGTTGAGATTGGCCAGCATTTGTGCCGCTTGACTAATGTTTGGTGTTATTAGATGTCATCAGCGAAGTGGAGGTGGTGTAGTTGCCGACCACCTATCTTCACTCCAATTCCTTCCCATTCCAGTTGTCGCATTGACATTCTCGAGGGTGGCACTGAAGAGTTTCAGTGAAATGGTATCACTTTGCCAAACCCCTCTCTTGACATGAATGATCACTTCCTTGTAGAATGGTGAGATCCTGGTAGTGAATCCATGATATAGCTCATGGAGGATCCTGATGTATTGAGTTTGAATGCCCTGTTTGGCTAGGGCTTTGATAATCACTTCAGTCTCAACAGAATCAAAGGCCTTCTTTAAATCAATGAATGTTAACAGAGCGGCATCTTGAACTTCTGAGAAACCTCAATGAGCTTGGTTATCGTGCGGATATGGTGCTATATGGTGCAATAGCTAATGGATTCTCATAATCCTTCTAGGTAGGTCCTAATTTATTCCTATTTTATTTTTATTTTTTGGTCATTGGCTTTACCTGGCAATGCTCAGAGGCTACTCCTTGTTTTGTGCTGAGGGGTTTATTTTAGTGGGTCTCAGTTGATTATGAGGTGCAGGGGATCAGCCCTCAAAGCATGCCCTCCAACCCACTGAGTTCTCTCTCTGGCCCTAATTTATTCATCTTTTATAGATGACCAAAATAAGTGTCAGAAGCAAAATGGGTAGGATTACACTTCCGATAGGTGATGAACCTAGTATTCTAATTCAAGTCTGCTCAAATCTAAGAGATTCTTGGTCTTTGTTTTTTGGCCATACCTGGTGGTGCTGGGGTGCCCATATGGGATGCCAGGGATCAAATAAGGGTTGGCTGCATGCAAGGCAAGGATCTTATCCCCTGTGCTTTCTCTTTAGCCCAGGCACCCACAGTAGCTAACATCTGCTCTCTACTCCCATAAGCACTTTGGGTTGGATCAGGGTTTTAATGCTCATGTGATCTGATGGCATTTCAGAACATTTATCTGAGAAATATTTATTACTTTATAAACATTTTGTTATTAATATTTTGTAAAATTTGACTTTTATAAATAATTTTATGGGCCCCTTGAGGTGCAGGGAGGTTCAACCAGGCCAGTAATTCAGTGTGAGATCCTGGGGATGCCATGCTGATCCAGTGCAGGAGTTTTACCCTTCAGGTTGGTGGTGCTGTGGGTGGGGGTGAGGTACAGTGTGTGTCTCCAGGACCAGACCTGCCAGGGCTGGGGGACCACGTGGTTCCTGGACTCCAGTCTGGATCCACTGCATGAAAGACATATGCTTTAACTTACCTCTTGACCACTGAGAGATCAAGGATCCTGGGCAGAAGAAAACCAAACCTCAAGGAATTGAGCTGCCACGGAAGTCTTAATTTTTCAGCCAAGAGAAGCAAATAACCATTCCAGAGCACAGAAAGCTCAAGTTAAAAGGCTGTCAGAGGTGCTGGAGAAATAGCACAGGGGTAGAGCATTTACCTTGCTCACTGGCGGATCAAGATGCCATCTCCAGCATCCCATATGGTCTATTGAGCAATTGCCATTTTGTTCAAAGTCAAGAGGTTCTTTTGTTTTTGTTTGGTTTTTAGGTCACACCCAGCAATACTTTGGGCTTACTCCTGACTCTGTGCTCAGGAATCACTCCTGGTGGACTCTGGGGACCATATGGGATCCTGTGAATAGAACCAGGGTTTGTTGAGTGCTTGTGAATAGAACAAGCACCTTACCCTCTATTTTATTGCTCAGACCCCAGGCTCTTCATTTTATAGACAAGGAAACTGTATCTGATGATGAGAAGGGTCTCTCCCTGCCCCACCACCATTTTACAGAAGGTGGAAGCAGGCAAGCTGGAATTAAACCTGCATCTCATTTAAAATTCAGGGGTCATTCTATTGCTTATCACATTGCACAAAGCCATGTGTGTTTCTCGGGCTGCTAAACAAAATCTGAAAACTTGCACGATGCCAAAAAAAGGATCCCAAACTGTTCCAAAACTGTAGTGCCCCTGAGTCTTAGTTCTCTCATGGGATATTCTACAGGGCTGAAGCCCTAAGAATGTCTAAGAAATGAGGAAGGGAAAGTGCCTACGTTGAGATGGCCCAAAGAGACCATAACTGTTTGACATCTTAAATGACTTGGAATAGCAAAAATCTTATTAATTCCTAGAATAAAAGAGTTTGTAGAAATCTTAGGAGTGGCAACGTGGGACAAATAAATGAAAGTACCTTACACAAACATCAGGGAATTGGGGAGGGAAACTCAATTTCGTTAATAATGGTAAAGGCTGAGCGTTCATCCTTACATACAGCCACTCAATGTAGAGTCCCTTGCTGGTTCCTGCCTTCCTGCTTAATAAGGTAGCCTGGAAATTACTTTAAAGCGCTCCCCAACGGCTTATTACACAATATATACTCAATAATTGCTGTTACTGAAACACCAACTGCTAAGAGACCGTGACACCCAGCCACTGTCCTTATGACACGTTGATCTCCGCCTCTGAGACTATATATCCCAAGATGCTCTTTGCCCGGGTTCCGGAGCCCACTGCATTCTGGGGCTTGTAGTCCGGAAGCGAGTGACTGCTCGCCCAGCGCGCAGGCGCAGCGACGCGGATTCCCGGAAGAACCGGCAGAATCGCCCAGGATGACCGGGTGGTGGTGGCTGCTGCTGCTGTGGCGGCGCTGACAGGACACGCGCTCTATGCCTTTCCGGCTGCTCGCCCCGCTCGGCCTTCTGTGCGCGCTCTTGCCCCTGCACCATGGTGCGCCGGGCCCGGACGGCACCGCGCCCGACCCCGCCCACTACAGGTGAAGGGGGCCAGGCTCCCAGCCCCTCCAGGGTTGGGGAACGGGGCGCTCAGACCCAGACCCTCCCCGTCCCCTCGCCCCAGAGCCCCCACCCGACCCGCTCGGATCCCGCCACCGGGCTCGCGGCAGAAACCAGGGGCTGATTCCCACTCTCCTCCGCCCTCTGTCTCGCCCCTTCCCCTGCGTGGTTTCCCCTTTATGCCCCCCTGCCTTATTTCTCCTACCCCGCACCAGGGAGCGTGTCAAGGCCATGTTCTACCACGCCTACGACAGCTACCTGGAGAATGCCTTTCCCTACGACGAGCTGCGACCTCTCACCTGTGACGGGCATGACACCTGGGGCAGGTAGTGCGAGCGGAGGAGCAAGGGGGCGGTCGGGGTCTGGCTGGCTGGTCCTAGTTGGGCGGGTCTGGTATGGCTGTTGGCGTCCAGGTCTCAACACCTGATCCGGAATAGCTCCAAGCCAGGGCGAGGGCGCATTGCTCTGCACCCCATACGCCCCCAGCGCAAGCACACACACACACACACACACACATCACAGCGCAGCACACGCACTCAACTTCCCCACTCCAATTCAGGCTCCGAGCCAGGGCGAAGGCGCATTGCTCTGCACCCCCCCACCCCCCCAGCGCTCTCACACACAAACACACACATACACACACACACACACACACACACATCACAGAGCAGCACACGCACTCAACTTCCCCACTCCGATTCAGGCCAGCACCGCCAGGATCCACTGCTGGAAAATTGGATCCCACCGTGGAGAAAACCTTGGGTATCCACCAAGAGGTGGATGGACCTCTGCGCTCTGGCCACAGCAGTAACAGGCACCAGCTGTGGGGACCCGCGCAGATCACTGGAGTCCTGTGATATCCATGGCTCTGAGGAGTTAGGAAACCCAACTCTTTCGTGTTTTTTATTTTAAAAACTTTTTTGGGGGGTGGGGTGCACACCCAGTGATACTCAGATCTTAACTCCTGGTGGGCTTGGGGAACCATATGGGTGCTGGGGAATCTAACCAGGGTGGGCCAGGTGCAGGCAAACTCCCCACTGTACTGTCTCTCGGGTCTCCAGCCTTTTGTGGTCTCAGTAGGTAAACTAACTGGCCATGGAGGGAACAAAACTCTCGACCATAAAGGTACAGAACCTTTGTGGTTAGTGTAATGAAACACGCCACCCCCTCTCTCTTCATATCACAGACTGTTTCCTGAGATGTTGGCGCCCAGAGCTGCCTCCCTAGCTCCTCGCCTTCCACAGCACTCTTACAAGTCCTCATATCTCCCAGGAACCCTTTTCTCATTCTCTGATACTGTCACTTCCTGCCTCTCTACTTGTTTGTCTTTCTCACTTGCACTAGAATATAAAGCCTGTGAGAAGTGGAATTCTCAGTCTTATTCCTTGCTGAGTGAAGAAGCATTGCTTTTAGCGAAGCTGACATTGATCACTGTGATGCTAAGCATTTCACTTGTGTCATTGCTTTTAATTCTCTTTAACACTCGTAGGAGTGAGGTGCTGTTATCTCTGTTCTACAGATGAGCATGCTAAGGACAGGAGAAATTCAACATTCGTACCTTTTTTCCCTAACCTGTTGAAAGCAATGCAAGCAAATGGCAGTTCAAGCAGTACAAAATCGTTCAAGTAACTAGCTCCCTTACCCTCGAATTCAGCCACTCTTTATTGTCTGTCTTGTAGTCAGTATATTCAGTTTACACCTTTATGAGGGTGTATATGGATACATCTTTTAAAATGAACCTTTGGGGCTGGAGCAATAGCACAGCGGGTAGGGTGTTTGCCTTGCACGCGGCTGACCCAGGTTTGATTCCCAGTGTCCCATATGGTCCCCTGGGCATCGCCGGGTGTGACCCCAAAAGCAAAAAAAAAAAAAAGAACCTTTTATTTTTATTTATTTACTTTTTTTTTTTTTTGTTTTTTGGGTCACACCTGGTGATGTTCAGGGGTTACTCCTGGCTTTGCACTCAGGAATTACTCCTGGCAGTGCTCAGGGGACCATATGGGATGCTGTGAATCAAACCCGGGTCGGCCGTGTACAAGGCAAACGCCTTACCCGTTGTGCTATCACTCCAGCCCCGAACCTTTTACTTTTAAAAAAATTCTTTAGTTTGGTTTTGGAGCCACATCCAGAGATACTCAGGGTTTACTCCTAGCTCTGCACTCAGGAATTACTCCTGTCAATGCTTGGGGGACCATTTGGCATTGAACTCAGGTCGGCCATGTGCAAGGCAAGTCCCCACTTGCTGTACTATCTCGCCAGCCCATAAAATGAACTTTTTGAAGGCCCAACTGACATACAAGAAAATATTCCATTTGGAATGTATAGTAAACCACTGTCACAATGGAAAATTTAGAGTGCTCGAAAAGGCATGGAACATTTCTAGCACCCTAAAAAGGTTCCTTTTTTCCCTTTATAGGTAATTCCTGCACCAGCATTGGCCTGAACAACTGCTCACCTGCTCTCTGCCTTCATGTCTCTTTTTAAAAATGCACCCGGATGCGCACTACACTCTGACTTGTGCCTTGTCATTTCCACTCTACAGTATAATTTGAATGTCCTAACATTGATAGGACTTATCATTGATAAATCTTTTGACAATTTAGTTTTACGTTGTTTTAAAATACTGCAGTTTAGTTCATCTTTCAACAACTGGAGCACGTTTGCTTGCTTGCTTTTTTTTCTTTTCTTCCTTTCTTTTTTCATTTTTGCTTTTTGCTTTTCTGAACAACACAGCTGTGAGGATTTTCAAATCACAAAGCTCCATGAACTGAGATAAATTCCGCCATATGAAAAAATCTGTGCCCTTAGCAGTCTTTTACTGTCTCCCTATGGCAGAGGATTCCAGAGTTGAGATGATGTCTTCACCTATTGTAGAGCTAGTCTTTGGAGTCCAGTCCATTCTCCCAGGTGCATTGGTGGGTCAGAGGTGCCTGGCCAGTTTCATGGTGGTGTCTTTATTTCTGGCCATGGGATGAGCAGAGGGACAGGGGCTGAAGCTATAGTACAGCGGGAAGGATGTTTGTTTTGTACGCAGTGGACCCAGGTTTGATCCCTGGCACCCCCATATGGTCCCCTGAGCACTGCCAAGGGTAATTTTTTTTTCTTTCTGGGTCACGCCTGGCGATGCACAGGGGTTACCCTTGGCTCTTGCACTCAGAAATTACTCCTGGCGATGCTTGGGGGACCATATGGGATGCTGGGAATTGAACCCGGGCTGGCTGCATGCAAGGCAAACACTCTATATGCTGTGCTATCGCTCCAGCCCGAGGGGTAATTCTTGATTGCAGAGCCAGGAGTAACCCTTGAGCATCGCTAGATATGATCCAAAAACAAAACAAAACAAAACAAAAAAAAAAACAAAACAAAACAAAAAAGAAGTTTTGGGACAATCTGGTCTGGGGCAATCAATATCTGCTATTTGATTTTCTTACTAAGCAACTGATATTTCTGTCCTTTACAGTTTTTCTCTGACTCTAATTGATGCTCTGGACACCTTGCTGGTAAGTGTCTTGTCTGTTCCTTTTCTCCTTATCATAATATATCCAGCATCCTTACTCTTTGGAAATTTTACTGTGGACTGAGACATTAATTTCACACCTAGACTTTTTTGTTTAGTTATTGTGCCACATTCAGCTTACTTCTCTATTTCCTCTCATAAATCATTCCTGGAGGTCTTGAGGGACCATGTGAGGTGCAGGGGATTGAACCCAGGTTGACCATGTGCAAGGCAGATGCCCTGCAAACTGTTTTTTCTCTCCAACCCCTAGACTTTTTTCCCCCTTTTCTTTTCTCCTTTCCTTCCTTCCTTTTTGTTTTGATTTTTTAGGGCCACACCTGGCAGTGCTCAGGACTTACTCCTGGCTCTGTGCTCAGGGAATCATATGGATGCCAGGAATTGGATCCAGGTTGGCTGCTTGCAAGGCAAACACCCTATTCGATGTACTATCACTCCATCTTTCTTATCTTTTCTTCTTTTGTGATGCTGGGGATCAAACCCAGAGCATCACACATGCAAGGCATGTATTCTATCATTGAACCACATCTCTTCCCTCAAAACTTTAAATTTTCATTCACAATTTGAGTCATCAGGTCCAATAAGGAAAATGATGACTTCTATAGGAAATATTTTTAGAGAACTTATATGAACATGTAACTATAATAGGTATAGATGGTTCTATCAGGAACACTGAGGCTTTGATACCCTCCTTGCTCTTGCTTTTGGAAACTTACCTCATAATGTACATGTCAGGGATTAAAAATAGTAACAGTCTGATATGTGCAGGATTTGTGCTAAGCATACATACATACACACACACACAGACACACACACGTGTATATATATATATATATATATATATATATATATAAACACTCTTGTTTAATCCTTCCAGCAGTTCATAAGTCCTTTGCTTCCTATGCTGAAAAATCTGATTCTTAAAAAGATAAAATGACTTGATCAGAGTAAGCAAGTTATTAAATGGTAGAGAGAGTCCTCCTGTTGTTCATCGATTAGCTCGAGCAGGCCCAGTAACGTCTCTATCATGAAACTTGTTGTTACTATGTTTGGCATATCGAATACGTCACGGGTAGCTTGCCAGGCTCTGCCGTGTGGGCGAGATACTCTCGGTAGCTTGCCGGGCTCTCCGAGAGGGGCAAAGGACTCGAACTCGGGTCGGCCATGTTGGCCGCTTGTAAGGCAAATGCCCTACCGCTGTGCTATCACTCCCTGTTAATCATCCTGTTAATCGTCGATTGCCTCGAGCAGGCCCCAGTAACGTCTCTTTCATCCTAGCCCTGAGATTATATTCACGGCTCTTTAGGAGAATGAGACCCATCATTGTTACTGGTATTTGGCATATTTGGTACGCCACGGGGAGTTTGCCAGACTCTGCCCTGTGGGCAGGCTACATTCGATAGCCTGCAAGTATGTCCAAAGTAGGAATGAGATAATAAGATGTCATAAAAAAAAAAAAAAAGCTCTGATAAGATGTCTGCGGCCGCGTGGTTCCGGGATCTGGATTTTATAGTCTCTGAGTCTTGGCCGCTGATGGGATTACACGGCGCCAGGGGGCCAGGTGGTGGGTGTGACCCCCGCCTGCTGGAATTTGGAGGATCTTCCATCCAGATCACTCCCTAGCACCCTAAAAATGGTAGAACTTGGAATTCAATTCTGTATGACTCTGAGCCTTAATATCATCCTTATAAAGACAATAGGGAAGATTTAACAACTTTCTATTTATTTACCATTTTGGTTCTCTGTTGTCTCTTTTCATTTTTATATATTGTTAGTAATTTTGTTTGTTTGATTTTGGGGTCAACACCCAGTGGTACTCAAGGTTTACTCCTGGGTCAGTGCTCAAGGAACACTGTGCAGTGTCAGGGATCAAACCAGGGCCTGTCAGGAAAGTGCCTTCACCCATGTACTACTCTCTTAGTTGTTAATATGTACATGATTGTGATCAGTGCTATAGAGATAATTTAGATTGTTTGCTTAATGTTAGTTTGTAGATACTTGTTCATCAAATATTTATTGAGAGTCAGTTGTCAGCTGTATACCAAACATAGTTTTAAGTCCTGGAGAGATAATAAGTGAGTTTATTAAAGCATTTTAAAAAAATCATTACTATTTTTACTTTGGGCTTTTGGGGGACTATACCCTGTTGTGCTCTTGGGCTACTCCTGGTGAATTGTTTCTGGTGGTGCTCAGAGGATCATGCAGTGCCAGGGATTATACATGGGGCTCCTTGCATGCAAGACATGAGCTCCAGTTTTTGAGCCATTTCCTTGGTCCTGGGGTAAGTGAGTTTAAAAAGACATGACCCCTGTTTTCTCGGAGTTTGTGGTTTTAGTGAGGAATGCAAAAAAAAATCAGAATAAATGAGTACAGATTAAGTTCTGCATTCTGTAGAAAATAAACAGGTTCTGTGAGTGGACTGAGGAGGTCACTCGTAAGGGAGTGATATGACACTTAAATTGGGGGATTGGAAGTAGAAGCCAGTGGTGCTGAGGGAAGAGTGCTGGGTGGGGTGTGTGGGTGGGGGAGTGTTCCAGGCAGAGGGGAGCAGCCTGTGCAGAGGATTAATGGCGGGGCAGAGCATGGCAAAAGTGTAAAATAAAGCAAGTTCATTATGTCTGGTTTATGAAAAAGGAAAAAAGAAGACGCAAAAGGGAAACTGGAGGGATAAGTTGAGGCCCAGAGGCTGCCAGGCCTTGTTCACTAGATTAAGGATTTTGATCATGGTTTTTGGGAATAGTTAAAAAACACTGAAATATCTAAAATAGAGGGCAGGAATGATGTGCTTTCTGCTCTGAGATCACTGGCTGCTGCAGTGTGGGGTAAGATTCATGTGCTCATGCAACAAACATCTGTTGAGTAATTGCTTCCTGGGCTGCTCTTCACTCCCTGGGGAAACACAGGAGAGAATAGGGCCCTTGACAGCAGGGCTCTCTTCAGGAGAGAAAGAGATACTCTGAGATTTGTGTGGCTAAATTTATTGGAGGTTTTCTTGTTTGTTTGTTTGTTTGTTTTTAAGGAAGAATAGATTCATTTGAGTTGGCAGAAAGAATGATTCCCTAGAGAAGGTACTAATTGATCACTGGTTGAAATCAACCATAGTGTGTATGAGGCGGAGAGTAGGTAAGATAGAGAAGGGACCAGTATGACAGTAATAGCTGGAAATGATCACACTGGACAAGAATTGAGTGTTGAAAGTAGGTAAAGGGATATATCTGATAACCTTTCAGTATCTGTTTTGCAAACCACAACCCAAAATTGGGGAGGGGGGGAGAGAGGGATCAAACCAGGGCCTGCCAAAAGGAGGGAAGGGAGAGGAAGGGAAGGGAGAGGGAGGGGGAGGGGAGGAGAAGGGGGAGAGAAGAAAAGCCAGGCTGGGGGTAGGGTGGGGGGGTGATAAGAGGGAAAGTGGGGGCACTGTACAGGGAAACGTGTATACTGGTGTAGGGATGGCTGTTGGAACACTGTATGACTGAAACCTAATCATGAACAGCTTTGTAAGTGTCTATTTCACAATGATTCGATAAAAAAAATCTTTAAATCTTTAGAGAGAGAGAGAGAGAGAGCATCAATTGAGGGTAGGTTCTACTGGGAGATGGGAAGACACTATGACTTCTGGCAGAGGGAACCGCATGTTTGAAGGCAGGAAATCCTGGAGTAGTGGGTTGTGTTTTAGTGTAGTAGATAAAGATAGGTAAATAAATAGTGAGAACCTTGCTGTCTGCCATGTCCTCCTTTGCTTCCAGATTTTGGGGAATGTCTCAGAATTCCAAAGAGTAGTTGAAGTGCTCCAAGACAACGTGGACTTTGATATTGATGTGAATGCTTCTGTGTTTGAAACCAACATCCGAGGTAAGGGCTGCCTTAGAAAATTTTTGGAAGAAAACTGTGGAGGTTTTTTTTGGTCTATCAGCCAGGAGTTAAGAAATGATATCTAAAGGGCTGAGCCGGCAGTTGTCCCAAATATTGACTGAGCTCTCTTCTCATAAAGAAGTCTCAAGGAGAGAGGTGAGAGGTCTTATGACCTTACCTCAATTTCAGACATATAATTGAGCAGATTATAGAGAAAAGACTGGGAAGAAATATGCCAGAACTACTTACCTTTATAACATGTATTTGGTACTAGGTATACAGCCATGAATAAGAAAGATGTGCACCCACCTTCTTGGAGCATATTGGCTAGGAGACCTTCCCAGTGGAACTTTCTGCCATGAGAGAGACGTTTTATAGGGGCTGGAGACATAGTACAGCGGGTAAGGCGCTTGCCTTGCATGCACCTAACCTAGGTTCGATTGTTGGCCCCACATATGGTCCCTCATATCCGCCAAAAGTGATCCCTGAGCTCAGAGCCAGGAGTAAGCCCAGAGCAACGCTGGGTATGACCCAAAAACAAACAAAAATAATTGTTTTATATTTATGATTTTGGTACAGCAGCTATTAGTTCCATTTAGCTATTGATCATTGAAATGTGTATACTGCAATTAAAGGACTGAACTTTTTATTTCATTTAATTATAGTGAGTTTAAATTTAAATAGTGACTAAATGGTTTAAAGTTAAATAGGTTTAAAATGTGATTAATGATTACTGTAGTATAGCAAGTTTGCAAGCCTTGATGCACATAAAACCACTTAGATCCCTTTAAAATGTTAAATATTTGGTTCCTCTCTAAACCTAGTGAATTGGCTTATCTGGGCTGCATCCTAGAATCAGTATTTTTAGTAGGTTTCCAATGATTCTGGTGAAACTGCTACAACCCTATGTGCAGTGAGCCTCTATCGAGACCACAAGTCAGTTACCAGCTGTCCCATCTAGTTGTCTTTTATCCTTATTTTGCTCATCTTTATTTTGTATGTTTTTCTGTAATAGAAAACTGTAATGGTACAGTGGTATGATGCTTGTCTTGCATGCAGCTGACTTGGGTTCAGTCCTTTTAGAAGAACATCGTGGTATCAAGTCCTAGTTTAAGAATCAAACCTTAGTTTGAGACCAAGCTTACTGCTGGGTTGAAACTTCTGAGCCCAATTGACTATCTGTCAATTAATATGGACCCTTCACCTTTATTTCTTATATAAATATACTACTTTCCTGCTCAGCTGTGTGAGAGGCAAACACCTTACCCCCCGTACTCTCTTTCTGGATGACTGATCTAGAAATTATGCATGACATCTAAATATATCACGGGAAATTCACAAGTTTAATTTGACAAAGTCTAAAGTTTCTAAAAACTTTAATTTTCCTTCTGAACAATATAAAATCTGACTATGGTTTTCCCTAACTGTGTGCTGTAGTTATGAAATTTAGTTCTCTTTTGATTTATATGTTATGGTTGTCTTAGATTTATTCAAGTTTTTTGCTTGTTTCTGTTTGTTTTGGGGCCACACCCAGTAGTGCTCAGGGCTTACTTCTGGCTCAACGCTCAGGGGTCCCTCCTAGCAGTGCTCGGGGGACCATATGGCACGCCAGGGATTGAGCCCGAGTCAGCCGCATGCCAGGCAAGCTTTCTACTGACTGTACTATCCTTCTGGCCCCTATATTTTTTTCAAATTTACCGTATTTCTTCTTATGTGGCAGACCGTGGATCTGTGATTCCTTTCCCTGTCTCCAAAGTACTTCCTTTAGAAGGACCTTCAGTGCAGCTGTGCTCTTGGGAAATTTTCTCAGCTTCTGTTTGTAGAAAACTGTCTTTATCTCACTGAGTTTGACAAAAAGTAATCTTGTCAGAGCCAGGGAGATAGCTCAAAGGGCTGGAGTACTCCATGGTCCCCACTAAAGAGTGGCACCCCTATTTACTGTTTTGGTTTTTTTTTTTTTTTTTTGCGGGGAGGTGGGGAGAGTAGGTACACCCAGCAGTACTCAGGGGTTACTCCTGGCTTAGCGTTCAGGGATCACTCCTGGTGGTGCTCAGGGGACCATATGAGGTTCCAGGGATGGAACCCAGGTCAGCTGCATGCAAGGCAAATGCCCTATGCACTGTACTATCTCTCCAACACCCCTCATTTTCTATTTTGTGTTGGTAATATGTATGTATGTATATACATATATATTTTTTTTCACTCTAATTGTTCCTTTCTTTTGGTGAGGGGTGGGGAGGTGTCAGACATAGGGGCGTGGGGGGGACATTCCCTGATTCTCAGCAGCCATGCCTGGGGGGTTCAGTGCCACTGCCTGAGGACCCCAAGGGTGATCAGGACCTCCACAGCTAACCTGGCCAAACTGGGAACTGTGTGATGATGCCAGATTGAAACAGGCTCATGGCATGGATGCTGACCCTGGTACTATTTCCCCAGCCCCTGCTATCTCCTGTTAAACAGTTTTTTATTCTAAAAAATAAATTCAGGTACATTAAATTAAATTCTTCAGGGGTCAGAGTGACAGGCCAGGGGGGAGGGTGCGGACACATGCTTGGCCCCCAGCACCCCATATGGTTCCTTGAGCCCGCCAGGAGTGATTCCTGGGTGAAAAAGCCAGGAGTAACTAAGATGCCCTGAATTTAAAAAGAAATTTAACTGTGTTCTCTTAACCTTTTTCCTCTTCCCATTTTGCCCTCTTTTCTTTTATAGAATTTCAGTCAGTTGTACATTACATCTTTTTATTGTATCTGCCAAGTCTCTTCTGTATTTTATTTAAGTTTATCTTGTCACTTTATGTTGTGCTGAAAAAAAATTTTTTTAAGTGTAAAAATATTTTGTTGAAAGGGGTTGGAGTGATAATACAGAGGGTTGGGTACTTGCCTTACACACAGCTGACCCGAGTTCAGTACCCAGCATCTCATATGATCAGTCCCCCAAGCTTACCACAAATGATCCTTAAGCAAAGAACCAGGGTTAAGTCTTGAGAACTGCCGGGTGTGGCCCCCCTAAAAAAACCAAAAGGAAAGGGCTTTAGGGAGCTGAAGTGATAGTACAGCAGGTAGGGGGTTTGCCTTGCAAGTGACCGAACCAGATTAGATCCCAGTATCCCATATGGTCCCTTGAGCACTGCCAGGAGTAATTCCTGTGTGTAGAGCCAGTAGTAACCCCTGAGCATTGCCGGATGTGACCCCAAAACCACACCAAGACAAAATAGGAAGGGCTTTAGAGCCAGAAGACCTGGCCCTGCCACTGATGAGAGCCTCAGTGTCTAAGAGGGCACTGTGGTAGCCTGGCGCTGGGTCTGCCGCAGGGCTGGAAAACTCGTGATGGCCCTCGCTTCTGTAAACCCCCAAGCAGGGGGAGTGTTTCAAGCTCAACACTGTACCAGTGTGAGGCTCAGGGACCCTCCTTTCCCCTGAAGACCCTAGCCCCTTCCCATCGATCCATCCGACCAGGGGTTCAGGTAGGATTTGCTCACGAGAGATTCCCCCCTGAGCCTGACTCTCCTCTCTGTGTGCGCTCCTCCAGTGGTGGGGGGACTGCTGTCGGCTCACCTGCTCTCAAAGAAGGCGGGTGTGGAGGTGGAGGCCGGTTGGCCCTGCTCGGGACCGCTCCTGAGGATGGCTGAGGAGGCGGCCCGGAAACTTCTGCCAGGTAATGCCCGCACGAGTGGGGGAGGGAGACATTCGGGAGGTTCCACCTCTCTTACTGGGGAGAGGGATGCCAGCACTCAATTCATTCCTGACGTCTCTCCCCCAGACACTTGGCATCCTTACTGCCATGCGCCCAGGAGGAGATCAAAAGAGCCTGGTACATCTTGAGGGTTTGCCTGGGCACTGGCCCTGAAGGGATGAGCTGATAATCTTGTTTGTGGCAGTGAAGGGCAAAAGGGGAAAGGTGGGACGTGCAGCTGAAGGCCAGGTTGGTGGGTAGACGGCCTCAGCCCTGTTCAAGCTTGAGTCCTTTCGCACACCCCCAGGGCTGCTGGGTTGAAAGAGTTCCGAGAACAGGAGCCTTTCTCCTGAGGTCGTAGGCTCAGCACTGCCGGCCACTGGCTGGACCGAGCCACGCTTCTCCTTGCTGGTCCCTGCATACCAAACGGAAATCTTCTTTCTTGCCTCTCCGCCACTGAGGGCTAAACTGAAGATGAAGCCAGGAAGGAGAAAGTGCTTGGGGAGCCTCAAGCATCGCTGAAGTGAGAGAGACTTGTTTGGAAGCTGTGTTCAGGGCTGGAGGCCAAGCTTGGGGTGTTTGTCTGATGTTGGGGGGGGGGAAGAGGGCAGCATCAGCTGGACACTGTGTTCTCTTTGGGGTGTGGTGGAAGCCCTCAGGGCTGTTTCCACATTAGCTTGCTGTGGTCAGCTCCACCCCCCACCCCCCGCACCCATTCCTCCCTCCACCCAATCCCCAGGCCTCCCAAAGCTCCCTCTCTCTTTGCCTCTCTTTGGGGCCCGAGCCTCAGTGCAGGAGCAATCTGGCGTCACAGCAAGTGGCCTGTGTTTCTCCTCACAACTTGTGCGGTTCATTCCCACAGGAGCTGCCTGCTGCCCCCCACCTTTTTCTCTTTCTTTCTTTTTTTTCTTTTTGGTAGTATTGGGGATCAAACCTAGGCCCTCATTCAGACAAAGCATGTGCTCTACTGCCGGGTCATTTTGTGTCATTTAAGGAACTTGCATCTTAAGACACATGCATGTTTTTAAAAAGTTCCCACTGGAGCAATCACCCACATCTCGACCGTTCTGGTCAAGAAATCAGATTTTGTCACGTCCCTCCTTTATAAAGCTGCCTGGCTTTCTTGAAACAGTCCCTCACAGCCTTTTCAGTTGGGAATTATATTCTCCCTACTTGCCACTCGTGACTGCCACATAACAAGTTTGTCATCTCCAGCAACGTATCTAGGCCTCTGCCGTTGTCTGTTTTTGCTTGGGGGTCCATACTTGACTGGCCATGGTCTGGAGCTCATCTGGTTTGCTGCTTGGGGTCGCTTCTTGCAGCGTTTAAAGGTACCTTGCAGGGCACGGGACTAAACCCCGGTCTCCTTCCTGCAAAGCCTGTGCTTCTGCCCTTCGATCCATCTCCCCGGCCTGGAAGTCTTGGCAGCTTTGTCCACAGTTTGCTGCCACACATGGGTCTCCCTGGGATTGTTAGACTTTAGGCTGGGAGGAAATCTCTGCCTCCAACTGGTTGTTGAGTTCCGTGCCTAAACTTAGCAGGCACTGAGGGGCAGAGGGTGGGGTGTGGGGCGCTGCCCTTGGCGGGGTAAAGGAAGTGGGTGCCTGACAGCTGCTTCTAGCCCAGCTCTCTTTGGCGCTCTCTGTGCCCTTTGAGGCACTTCTTTCCAGGCCTGACTTTTCCTACTGTAAATTGGAAAACATGAGCAGTTTAGTGGCTCACCTCCTTTTTTATATCATTGGTGCTGTAGGTTTTTTCCCTCTTTATTTTTTGGTCACACCCAGCGGTGTTCAAGACTGCCTACTCCTGCACTGGCTCAGTGATCACTCCCAGTGGTGCTCTAGGCACCTTGCAGTATCCAAAAGCAAACCCAGGCCCCCTGCATGCAAAGCATGCGCACTGCCCAGTGAGCTGTCTCTTTGACCTGTGTTGTCGTTGGCAATAATTTAACCCCTTGAAGCACCAAATTTGGGATTGACTCCCAGGGGAGCCCAGGGACTGGTGAGGCCTGCAGATGACCTGGGTCACCACAGTGTTGTGGAAACTGTATGAGTGGGGCCGGGATATAGCTCAGCAGTAGAGCACTTGCTTTGCCTGTGTGGGGCCCTAATTTCAACCCCATGTACCACTAAAATGCTTTAGTTCATCTATGTCATTAAAAGTAAATAAAACCATGGGGCTGGAGCGATAACGCAGTGGGTAGGGCGTTTGCCTTGCATGCGGCTGACCCGCGTTCGATTCCCAGAATCCCATATGGTCCCCCAAGTACCGCCAGGAGTAATTCCTAAGTGCATGAGCCAGGAGTAACCCCTGTGCAATGCTGGGTGTGACCCAAAAAGAAAGAAAAGAAAACCAAAGGAAAAAAAAAAGAAAAATACCAGATCTTGAGTGGCTTCAAATGGGGCCTGCGCTTCAGTGGCCACCAGCACCTCCCCACATTGGCTTAAAGCCACCTGCTTCAGACAGTCACCTGCCTGCTTCCCTCGCCCCGACAGAGTGCAGAGAATCAGATGAGCTGCTGCAGTGAGAGTGTGTGTGGTGGGTGGGCGTGGGAGTGCGCTCAGCGCCAGTCCCCAGCGCTCATGCAGAGCAGCGTGTAATACAAGCCCCTCTCTTGTTGGGACATGGTCTCTGCTCTGGCTGAGCCTCTAGCAGACACTCAGGAGATAAGGCCTTAGCTGTCTCCTGGCTTAGGCCTCCCCGCCTCCCCGCCTCCCCATCTGGAGTCCTCATTTTTTTTTTATTAGTGAAACACCATGAGGTACAGTTGTAGACTTACAAGTTGTTGTGCTTGGGTTTCAGTTATACAATGATCGAGTACCCATCCCACCACCAGTGCCCATTCTCCACCCCCACCAATCCCAGTATCCCTCCAACCCCCCCTCCCCCATCCTCCCCTGCCTCTGTGGCAGGGCACTCCCTTTTGTTCTATCTCTCCTTTTGGGTGCTGTGGTCTGCAGAAGAGACATTGGGTGGCAATCATGTTCTGTCTATAGACTACTTTCAGCATGCATCTCCCATCCTGGGCGGATCTTCCCAGCACCCTTTATTTGGTGCTCCTTTCTCTGTCTGAGCTGCCTTTGCCCCTAGAGTGTGCGGCTGGCCTCTAAGCCATGGAGTGAACAACCTGGTATTTATCACAGCTGTTCTTGGGTGTTAGTCTCTTATTTTGTTACTTTATGTTACCCAGATGAATGCAATCTTTCGATGTCTGTCCCTCTCTTTCTGTGGAGTCCTCATTTTGCCCTGGTGCAGCCTTTCAGACTCCCACTGGTATGCCGTACGGAACAGTGAACCTGCTTCATGGTGTGAACCCGGGCGAAACCCCCGTCACCTGTACTGCCGGGATCGGAACCTTCATTGTGGAATTTGCCACCCTCAGCAGCCTCACCGGCGACCCCGTGTTTGAAGACGTAGCCAGAGTGGCGCTGACACGCCTCTGGGAGAGCCGGTCGGACATCGGGCTGGTAAGGTGACTGCCACCCTTCCGGCCACCGTGGCCCCTGTCCATGGGGCTCAGTGCCCAGTAGCATGCTGCAGCCCTGCCAAGGGAAGCTCATGGTGACCTCCGGAATGGCGTAGGACGTCGGCACTGGATGCTGAAAGGAAATCAAGCCTCTAAATCAGGTTTTTGGCTCAGAGAGCAGGAGAGAATATTCTCTGGCAGGCAGAGGGGCTTTCTTAAGCTTTGACACGTTGAATATCTCTAATCCCTAGGAGTAGATCTTATGCCTTTGTGCCCCCAACTTACTCAACACCCCAAGATTAGCAGTCTATCTGGGACCTCTTTTTTTTTTTTTTTAAAGAGTTGGTTTCTTCTTCTTCTGATAATGCCTGTTCTGAGATCTTGTCCATGAAAAAAGTGATTTTTGACCAATTAAGTTCGGGAAACACTTCAAGGATTGTCCTTTTTGTTGGTGGCGGTGGCAAGAGGGGAAGATTATAATGAACACAAATAGGTTAAAGGTTAATGAAATTCTATGATAAATCTCTCTAATTTTGCTTAACTGACTATTTCCCAAATCTGTTTGACCCCAGAGCTTCCCTTTCCTCTTTAGTACCTGTTGACCCATGGAAATTTCACACTTCAGATAACCTTTCAGGGTGTTTTCAGTTCCTAAACTGGATAATCCAAGGAAACTAATTGTAGTTGTGCCAGAGCTGTCCAGGAAATAGCACCAGATTTAGTCAGAACTGGGTTTGAGTTCCTTGGCCTTGTTACCTCAAAACTGTGTGACCCTGGGCAAATTACTCAAACTTTCTGGTCCTCAGTGACTTCGGTGGTAACGTTGATGTATTGATACCTCCAGGGCAAGTCATCATGATCATGATTTACAGAGACTGCGTTATCCCAAGTGATTCAGATGGAGGCCCAAGTTAGGCAAAGTCCGGTTCTAAGTTTGGAAAGGGAAACTTGGGTGAGGAATCCTTGACAGTCCCTTCAGCCTGTAATCTGGCCAAACCCAGCAGCTTCTTCTCCAGACTAGAGCTGCAGAGGACAGTGTGAGTGCCTTACCCGGACCCCCCCACACCTGGCCTGTCTCCTACCACAGTCAATCACAGCTCTGCTTTGGGCCTTAATGAGTGTGGAAGCCTCGTTGGCTGGCTCTCAGCTGGGTGAGGGGCACTCACTGCTCCCCCGACAGACTTCCTTGTCAAAGAGATGCTAATGGGGCCTGTGGAGAAACACCCCCATCCCTGCCTGTGAGTGGGATGACCTTGAGCCACCCAGCAGGCTCCAGTGCCATTTCCCAAGGTGGTGCCTGCCTGGGGCCTCCTCACCCTGTATGGGTGCCTTCCTCCGCCACCTCCCATGACCCCTCCTCTGCCCTTGTTTCCGGGGACTTACCTTCCACACTGACCATTAGAATCATCCTTGCTTGAGGGGCTGCTGCTGGGAGGTGTGGTTGGGGGTCAGGGTTCCTGATGCAGAACAGCAAGCTATTTCTTTGACGTGGTATATTTCATGAAGTCACCAGCTTCACCAAGGGGCTCAGTTAGATAAGAAACACAGCTCTTCAGTTTAATCTTTAAAAAATTCTTTAGTTGTTTTCGTTTTGGGGGGCCATACCAGGTGAGCTCAGGGCTTACTCCTGACTCTGTGCTCAGGGATCACTCCTGGCAGTCTCAGGGGACCATATGGGATAGCCAGGGATCGAACCTGGGTCAGCCACCTGTAAGTCAAGTGCCCTACCTGCAGTACTCTCTCCAGTCCCTGAATTTATTTCTTGGGGCTCAAGAGATAGCTCAACAAGCTGAGCATACGCTTGCCTGCAGGAGCTCCAGTTTTAATCCCCACCACCACGTGGACCTCTACACCCCCCACCCACAACTTTCTGCCCTTCCTCCCCAGTGCTACTGAGAGTGTCTCTGAGTGCTGAGCCAGGAGTAGCCCCTGAGGACTGAAGGTGTGGCCTAAAAGTTTCATAATCAGCCCCCCCCTCCCCGTCTGTAAAGTCACACAGATTACAAAATAGTTCACAGTGGCATTTGTGCCGTCTCCCCTGATCCCTGTCACTGCCTTCTTAGAGCCTCTCCTATCTTGGGGGTCTTTCCCAGGTTGATTTGTTCAAGTACGGAAGGTGTGTCTTGTATCTTTAGCTGCTGGATCACGTGCAGCGTGCTGAGACGTCCCAACAACTGTGGGCACAGCAAGCTCTCATCTTCCCACTCACATTTTCTCCTGGCAGGGCGTTCCAAACACATTCCAGTCATTGTTTTGCTTCATTTTCCGAGTGTGTGTAATCAAGACTTCACAGAGGTCTTAAGAGATACAGCCTCAATGTACAGATTTGCAGGAAAGCTGGCAGTGATCCAGCCTCATGCCTCCACGCTCTGTCCTGACAGCCTGTCTGCCTTCCAAGAAGCGCTGGGGTGCCGGCCTGGCATCTCACTAAGCCATCAGGAGTGTGGAGGGAGCCTCATTTGGCGCAGGGCCTTTCCCTGGGATCATGTATCTTTCCTGCAGGTCGGCAACCACATCGACGTGCTCACTGGCAACTGGGTGGCCCAGGACGCAGGCATCGGGGCTGGCGTGGACTCCTATTTTGAGTACCTGGTGAAGGGAGCGATCTTGCTTCAGGATAAGACACTCATGGCCATGTTTCTAGGTAAAAAGGGAGGGGCAAGGGGGTCTTCCCCATGATTTTCCTGATGGAAATCCTCACTGATAACCACTTATCATTTTTCCCAGGTACCACAAGGTCAATTCTGAATATCTGAGTCTTATACCGAGAGCCTCAGTGGGCTAACACTGCCCATTTGACCCCAGTCACACTTCTTCATGCCTTCCTTTTTTTTTAAGATATACATTTATTTATTTATTTATTTATTTATTTATTTATTGCTATTTTGGGTCACACCCAGCGATGCACAGGGGTTACACCTGGCTCATGTACTCAAGAACTATTCCTGGCGGTGCTCAGAGGACCATATGGGATGCTGGGAATCAAACCCAGATTAGTTGCGTGCAAGGCAAACGCCCTACCTGCTGTGCTATCACTCTAGCCCCTCTTCATGCCTTCTTGCAAGGGAAGCTGAACCGTGCTGCAATTCTCTGCGTGCTGCATTTTCTAGATTTTTTTTCCCTTGCTCCACCATTGCACATGCACTTGCCTTTTTGTCTTGAATACTAAATTTTTTCCTGTGTCCGAATTCTATCTACCTTTCAAGACCTATTCTATGATTTTGTGTGTTGTTGTCCTCCGCCCCTCTCGGAGAGCCCCACAAGCTACCAAGAGTATCTCGTCTGCACGGCAAAGCCTGGCAAGCTCCCCGTGACGTATTCGATATGCCAAACACAGTAACGAGTCTCACAATGGAGACGTTACTGGACCCACTCGAGCAAATTGAAGAACAACAGGAGGACAGTGACAGTGACAGTTGTCACGGGGCCATACCCATTGGTGCCAGTGCCTGGGGGCTACTCCTAACATGCTTCCTGGCAGTGCTGAGAATCAGATCTGGGCCTCTGCGCACACCCAGCCCTTTGAACAGCCTCTGTGTAAGCCTTCCCCTTCTGTCTTCCCATCAGCTCTGATGCTCACTGATTGTTCTGCCAATGGAATGCAGCCTCATGCCTTATTCAGCTGTTTCCCACAGTGCTTTGTGTATGTGGGTGGCAGATTAATGCTTGTTGTATAAAAACATTTCCCCTCAGCCTTAGACATTAGCAATAATAATACTGAGGAATTCTTGGGTACTACTACTAATTATTATGATGACCACGTCTTTATTTATTAGATATTAAGCACTGGATATGTTAAGTGCCATGCTGAATATGGACCATTATATTTAATCTCTGTTACACACTGTTTAGGCTATCTTGTTTATTTGTATGTGTACTTGATACTTTATGCAAATTTATTATGCACCCTCTAGTATTGGGAATTCTTCAGTGAATTTAACAAAATCCTGGCCCTCATGGATTTGCAATCTGAAGGGTGGGGAGGTGAGATATAATTTCATTCTGGTTTCCTGAGAGCCAAACTCATTTCTGTCCCTCACTGCCTGGCACCTCGTAGGTGCTCAGTGCCCATCACTGAGTGAGTGAGTGAGTGAGTGAGTGAGTGAGTGAGTGAGTAGATGAGGTAACAATCTGATGGGGCATATACCTGTACTGTCCTCATTAACTGTTATTGAGGCCGAATCTTAAGATGGAAAAACTTGGGGTGGAAGAGATGTCTTAAGGGCTAGAGGGCGGATGTACCTTTCCTGTGGGAGGCCTGGATTTGATCCACAGCACTGTAGGGTTCACCAAGAAACGCTGGGTGTGACTCATGAGCACAGAGCTGGGAGTAACTTCTGAGCACTGCTAGGGGATGTAAACCCATGCCCTTTTCTTTTTCTTTCTTTCTTTTTTTTAAAGGTAAAGGTAAAGGTAAAGACCCTCCCGTTGATCGTCGATTTGCTCGAGCGGGCCCAGTAACGTCTCCATTGGAGACTTTGTTGTTACTGTGTCTGGCATATCGAATACTCTCGGTAGCTTGCCGGGCTCTCTGAGAGGGGTGGAGGAATCGAACTCGGGTCGGCCATGTTGGCCGCGTGTAAGGCGAACGCCCTACCGCTGTGCTATCGCTCCAGCCCTTTCGGACACCCCCGAATCCCTGATGGCCCTCTGCACCTACTTTCTTTTTTTAAATTTATTTCAAAATTTGTGGAGGTTGGGGGCACACCTGGCTATACTCAGGGCTTACTTCTGACTCTGCACTTAGGGGTCACTCCTGATGGAACTTGGGATCAAATGGGGTGCTGGGGATCAAACCTGGGTCCAGTGTGTGCAAAGCAAGCACCTAACATACTGTACTCTCCTCCAATCCCATAGAGGGAATTTAAACATTCTTTTTGTTTAATAACTTATTTTCCACATCCACTTGTGCCCAGGAATCACTCCTGATGTGCTTAGGGAACCATATGGGAGTTCTGTGAGTGAGTGCCTTAACCCTTGAACTATCTTTGCAGTACCCAATGTAAACTTCTTTATAGTCCCACCTGCAGAAGGTTCTGATACCACCCTAGGCTAGCATTTCTCCCTCACTCCCTATTTCTGGAGTCTGGCCCTGATGCTCAGTGTGCTGTTGTAGCTTTAAGGTCTGGAGAAGGTGAAAGCTTCTGCACAGGCCCTTTTCTTACAAAACAAAAAAAGGAAGATAGGAAGGGAGGAAGGAAGGAAGGAAGGAAGGAAGGAAGGAAGGAAGGAAGGAAGGAAGAGAACAAAAGGAAAGAACAAAAGAAAACGAAGGGATAAAGGAAGGGATGGAGGGAGGGAGAGAGAGAGATAGGGAAGGGAACTTGCCCAATGTCACAGCCAGCCAGTGGTAAAAATAAAGCTGCAATTTGATACCAGAACCTACACTCCTTCTCCTGGGTTTTGTGGCCTCCTCTTCTGTTGTGAAACTAGGCCCTCACAGGATCTATTTCAAAAGTGTTTGTTAGGACTGGACAGATAGTACAATGGGTAGGGCACTTGCCTTGCATGCAGCTCACCTGTGTTCAATCCCTCGCATCCCATTTGGTCCCTCAAGCCCTGTGGGAGTTCAAGGCGGGAATAAGCCTGGAACACTGCTGTGTTCCCCCCCACACACACACACACATACACACACATACCACCACCACCACCACTACACACACACCACCACCACCACCACCACCACCACCAACAACAACAACAAAATAACTGTTCGTGCTTCTGTTGTGCAGGCTTCCCTTTTGTCTTCCTAACTACTGACAGGTTCATTTTCCCATCTCTGCTGCAGAGTATAACAAAGCCATTCGGAACTACACCCGCTTTGATGACTGGTACCTGTGGGTGCAGATGTACAAGGGGACGGTGTCCATGCCTGTCTTCCAGTCCTTGGAGGCTTACTGGCCTGGTCTTCAGGTAGGCACCATCACAAATTGACCAGCATTCCATGGCACCAGAAAGCAAGCTCCTTCGGATGTCCTCGTCTAATATGTTCTATGAGTTCTCATTTCTGTTTTCTATTTTGAAGTGCTGGGTTGGAGGTGGAGAAGAGATTTTGAGTGAATTAGTAGATTTAAGATTTTGTCAGACTGAATTTTCCAAGAGAAGCTTTGAGGTATCAGGAACCGAGCTTCCTATTTGTTTGGTGCATGTTGGATCATTTAGTAAAAAGCAGCAGTACCAGGGCATCCAGAGAGATAGTACAGAGGTTAACAACTTGTGCCTTATACACGGCCAACCCCAGTTTGCTCCCCAGTGCATATGTTCCCCCAAGCACTGATAGGAATGAGAATCGTCCCTGAACACTGAGCCAATGAAAGCCCCAAGCCACCTCCCAGTGTGACCCCCAAAATAAAAGCAAGAAGGCAGTATGTTTCCAGGTTAGGCTGTAATTTCTGTCCAGTTTCCACTTTCTGACAGCAGTCAGACAGGTGAAAGGGGTGAAGGCCTCTTGGGTGCTCTGCCTGCCGTCACTGTTTCCCTTAAATTTTGTTGTTGTGGTTTTGTTTTGTTTGGGGGTCACATCTGGCATTGTTCAGTGGTTACTCCTGTAAGTGCTCAGGGAACAAAATGGGATGCTGGAGATTAAACCTGCGTTGGCCGTGTGCAAGGTCCTACCCACTGTACTATCTCTTATGTCCTGGAAGGGATTTTTTAATTCATCTAATAATCCACCTCCTCTGTGTGCCAAAATGCACTTACAAATTAGTATTTAAAACAGACAAACAAATAAACAAACTAACCATAGATGGCACTTGCTTTGCATGCAGCCAGGTTCAACGTGTGCCATGTGTGGGCCCCAAACAAACAAAAATCATCTGTTCATCCACTTGCTCACCAAGTATTTAAATATCTCTGTGCTCCTGAGTTTCTGTCCTAATTGACTTTATAGGAGGAAAAGAAACAAATTAATACGTAGACAAATGCACAGTAATGAAGTCAAGAAGAGCCTGGGAGAGAATATTGGATGGAGCCTTACTTTGGACATAAGTAGCGATTGGAGAGAACGGGGGTGGGGTGAAGGGCAATGTTCTAAGAAGCAGCAGCATGTGTGAAGGGCCTAGAGCAAGGAAGAGTTGGGTTTCTGGCCAGAGAGATAGCTCAGTGGGCTGAGCACAGGCTTTGCATGCAGGAAACCTAGGCTGATCTCCAGCACTGTGTGATCCCACAAGCATGCCAGGAGTGGCCCCTGAGCACTGAGATAGGAGTAGCCCCCAAGTACTCCCTGGCTTCCCAAAACAACCAAGAAGAAAAGAAGAGAAAAAGAGGGACCATGAAGATACAGTGTAATCGGCAAGGCGTTTCTGTGCACACAGCTAGCCCAGGTTCCATCCCTGGCACCATATGTGGTTCTCCAAGCCCAGCCAGGAGTGACTGTCTGAGCACAGAGCCAGGAGTCAACCCAGAATACAAATGGGTGTGCCCCACCCCCCAGAAAAAAAGAAAAGGGAATTAAAGGAAGAAATTGGTGGTTATGAGAAACAAAAGTACTGTGACTGCAGCCCAGGGAAGAAAGGTCAGTGGGAGGTCAGTGGAAAGTCAGTGATTTGGCAGGGCCTTGCAGACTACAGTGCCATGTCTTGGCTCTCTGCCGAGCCCATGGGAAGCCCCAGTGTGTATAATAAGTGAATAGAAGCTGGTGTATGTATTTTTTTTCTCTGGCTGATTTGGGGATATTGGCTAAGAGAGGTGGGGAGGCCGTCAGGGCTATCCCAATAAACTACCTCTGTGGCCAAAACCTTGGTGTTTTTGTAGCAAGAACTGATGGGAGTTTCTGGAATGGATGTGGAGGTAGAGGAAAGGGAGGTGTCAAGGATGAGACCCAGATTTCTGGCTAGAGTAATGGGTGAATGGCGCTGTGTTACTGAGACAGGAGTGGGATGGAAGCAGCTTTGTGGGAAAGTGAAGGAACCAAGAATTTTCTCAGGGAAGTATTGAGTTTATTTCAACCATGGGATATCCAGTAGAAATGTCAAGAAGGCCAGCTGTCCCCCTGTGGGTTTACTTCAGTAGTATTAGCTACTTGGGAATAGCTAGCAGAAGGACAACTGCATGGATTCTCTGACCAGAAACCCTTGCTGGAAATTTCTCTCACCAATATACTTTTTGTAAATTGATGTTAACGTGTGTAGAGTTATTTTTTGAAATTTTGATTTTTAGAGTAAATAGCAAAAGATTGGAATGAACTCAGCTGGCTGAGCAATGAAATACTATATAGCTATTTAAGAGATCGAGGGTGCTTTTTAGGTACATGTGAAAAAGCAAGCTAATATTGTTTAGTTTTTAAAATATTTTCAGAACCATATACTTAATAAACTAAATTTATTATGGGAGAAAAAGACACTAATTTGCTTGTTTTTCAAAACTAATACAAAAAGAAGGAAAAAACTAATACAGAATTATTTATTTGCTTGGGGTATAGGGCAGAAGTGAGATTTTAGTATAATAAACCTTTTCATATTCTTATAATTTCAAATTAGATGACTGATTTACCTACTTAAAAACTGCTAGCAGAGGGGGCTGGAGAGATAGCACAAAGGGTAGGGCATTTGCCTTGCACACGGCCGACCCGGGTTCAATTCCCAGCATCCCATATTGTCCCCTGAGCACCGCCAGGAGTAATTCCTGAGTGCAGAGCCAGGAGTAACCCCTGTGCATCACCAGGTGTCACCCAAAAAGCAAACAAATGAACAAACAAAAACCCTGCTAGCAGAGGGGCAGGAGTGATAGTACAGCGGGTAGGGCACTTGCCTTATACACAGCCCACCTGGGTTTGATCCCCGGCATCCCATATGGTCCCCTGAGCACTGCGACGAGTGATTCCTGAGTGCAGAACCAGGAGTAACCTCTGAGCACCGACAGGTATGACCCCAAACAAAAACAAACAAACAAAACTGCTAGTTTACCCCCAATGGTGCTCAGGATTTACTCCTGGTTCTGCACTTAGGGTCACTCCTGGCAGGGGTTTAGGGAACTAGATGGGGTACTTGGGATAGAACCCGGGTAAGCCTCTTGCAAGGCTGACAGCAGGTGTGCTGTATTGTGTAACTCTGGCCCCTGAACATGTACCTGTGGGCAAGGACTTTGAATATAATCTTTGCCCCTTTCCAGCAACGTGTGAGATATGTTGCATTTTGTCTTCTAGAGATGTAGCTCTGATAAGTTAAGTATCTGACTGCAGGTCACGCAGGGAAGTAAATGACTGGCTTGGGGTTGCGTGGCAAGCATTTTTAGCTCCAGTGGGTTTCTTAGGCCCTGGTGGCTCACGTCCTAACGACTGCTTCTCTCCTACAGAGCCTTATTGGTGACATTGATAATGCCATGAGGACCTTTCTTAACTACTACACTGTATGGAAGCAGTTTGGGGGGCTCCCAGAATTCTACAACATCCCTCAGGGATATACCGTGGAGAAGCGAGAGGGCTACCCGCTTCGGCCAGGTAAAGCAGCCCAATCCACGCCCTGCCAGCCCGTTGCCACCCTTGTCTGGCTTCCACCCTTGTGCCTCGTTGAGACTCCCCGCTTTGCCCAGCCTTCCACGTCCATTCCCACCCTGCTTGGCCCCTGTCGTCTCATTCTTCCAGTGGCTCTGGGTCCCTTTCCTGCTGGGAATTGTTTATCCGCATAATTTCCGTAAGGACACTGAGGCCAGGGGTTGAAATGGTCTGCCCAAGGCTCCCGGGTGTAGGAGTGCGTGCGGGAATGCTGGTCTCCTCACTTGAGCTCACGCTCAGACAAACTGAGACAAGAAGGAAACGAAACCTGCTCAGCCCCTTTTGATCTGGAGATTCTGCTGGTGGGATTTCAAAAGTGACAGGTTTTCGAGTCAGTGGGTCAGAGAAGGGATTCTTCTGTGGTATGAAATGTGAGACCTTGGCAGTGGGATGAATGAATGAATCACTGAGCCTTGTCCAGTTCTCCATGTATTGCGCAAAAAACCAAGATACAGAGAATGAAGGGATGACACTTAGGATCATGGTCTGAAGTTCTTTTTCCGTGTTGAGCTTCTGAGTCACTGCAGGAAAATTCAAGAAGGAAAGGAGAGGAAGGGGAAGGGAGAGAGGAAGGAAGCTTCGTCAGCACAGCCGGTCACCCCACCTCCCTCCCCAAAAAGGTTACATTCCCATTGTCTTAGGCACTTCCCACCTTCCACCTTAATGCCGTCAGACAAACCTTCAGTGACTTGAGTCCAGTCTGCCCTCCCTATCCCATTTTCCGCTTCTAGTAACCCAAGATGTTGTGGAGGTGGGGAAACAGCAGAGAAACTAAAGTAGCGTCCAGGAAGACGGGTCATAGAGCTGGAGCTTGTAGCTGGTATGTGGGAGCCCAAGGTTCAATTCCTGATATCGCATTGACTCCCCCAAACCCTCATACATCACTAGGGTAGCCCTGGTGTCCCCAGCAGTACTAGGTTTTAGAAGCACCAGGCTCTGAGTATTACCAGGAGTGGTCTGGGACCCTTAGAGCACTGCTTGGGAGACCCCCCAAAACTTTTTTTTCCTTTTTGCGTCACACCCAGAGATGCTCAGGGGTTACTCCTGGCTCTACACTCAGGAATTACTCCTGGAAGTACTCGGGGGACCATATGGGACGCCGGGAATCAAACCTGGGTCAGCCTCATGCAAGGCAAATGCCCTACCTACTGTACTATCTCTCCAGCCCAAATACTTGTTTTTTTTTTCTTTTTTTGCTTTTTGGGTCATACCTGGCGATGCTCAGGGGTTACTCCTGGCTCTACACTCAGGAATTACTCCTGGTGGTGCTTGGGAGACCATTTGGGATGCCAGGGATTGAATCCAGGTCGGCTGAGTGCAAGGCAAATGCCCTACCCACTGTACTATTGCTCCAGCCCCCAAAAAAACATTTTTAAAAGTTAAAAAAGCTGGGACTGGAGAGATGTTATAGCAGTGTGTGTGTGGGGGGGGAGGCGGGGGGAGAAGGGGGAAGATGGGAAAGGGAGGATGGTGGGTTGATCCAGGGCATTTCATATAATTACCCAAAGGGGTGATCCCTGAGCCAGGAGTATATCCTGAGCATCACTAGGGGTGGCCAACAAACAAACAATTAAACTCTGAAGAACAGAGAGCAAATGTTAGTCTCTGTTGACCCTGTGCTTGGAGTTTTTCATGCGTTCTCATGTCCCCTCCCCTTTTTTCTTTTAAAAAGAAGCTCGATCATTGTATAATTGAAACCCAAGCACAAAAATTTGTATGTCTACAACTGTACCTCATGGTGTTTCACTAATAAAAATTTAAAAAAAAGAAAGAAAGAAAGAAAGAAAGAAAGAAAGCAAGCATGTAGGTGGCATTATATCCAGTGTTACCAAGAGGTGAAAGGGAGATCAGAGTTTGGGAAGAACTGTAAGACTTAGGCTTGTGTGATGTCAGGGTTGAAGGGAACCTGCGAGGGCTTCCCACCGAGATCCTTGTGGAATGGCTAAGCCCATTCCATGGGGTTGGGGGTGGAGGTATCTTGGTTTGGCTGGTTCACTGCCAGCTCCAGGAGCACTCATGGTCACAGGGCCCTCGTGTTCCAGGTGCGTGATGGATGGGCAGGAAAGCCTCAGTGGAAACAAGGCACTACTTCCAGGAATCCAGGAATGCCTTAGTCACGCTTCCCAACCCAACACAATAGCCGTAGAGATAAGCATCCTGCTCAGAATCGCAGCCAGTGCCTTATCCGATGGCACTTGGCGTTTTTAGTGGGGTTTTTTTTTTGGTTGTTGTTATTAGTCTGTTTTGGGGCCACACCTGGTGGTGCTTAGGATTTACTCCTGGCTCTATGCTCAGGGCTCACTCCTGGCAGTCTTGAAGGTCATATGGTGTGCTGGCAATCAAACATTGGTCAACTGCATGCAAAGCAAGTGAGTGCCTTCCCTGCAGTACAGTCTCTCTCGTGCACTCTACTCCTTGGAGCTGATCAGCAGTGTTGGGAGGGCAGAGCCTTGCCAGCAGGCCTCTAAGGGTCTTGACCTCCCCCAAATCCAAATCTAAATTGAGGGCTGTCGCAGTCTCTAAGAGCATTGACCAGATTCACAGGAAATGAAGGCAGTGACTGGCATACTTAGGCCTACGTGTGTGAGTGAGGGAAGATGAGATGCAGGCACCAGTGAGCTGCTTTGGCCAGCTGTAGGGAGCAGAGCCGGAAGCTGCCCCTGGAGTGCTGACCTTTCTCTCCCTGAGCATGTGTGGTGTGTCCACCGCCCGGTCAGTGTGACCCAATCTGAGCCAGTATGACCAGCAGGACTAGCACTGTTGAGAGGCCTGGGGTTAAGTAGGAGGGAACTGGGGAAAGAGGCAAAGATCTTGACACTGAATTTAAGAACTAGGGTTTGCCATCATAAGCTGGAAGAGAGAAAAGTGCTCACCAAAAGGAGGAAGGAGGGGAGGGGACCCTTCAGGGGAGAGGTTCAGAGGGAAGGGAGGACAAAGGGCAGGGACTCTTTTTGGAGCAAACAGCACTCTTACCTAGATTCCCTCCCTCTCTCCCTCCCTCCCTCCCTTCCTTCCTTCCCTTCCTTTCCCTTTCTTACCCTTCCTTTCCCTTCCTTCCCTTCCTTTCCTTTCTTCCCTTTCTTTGTGGTTTTGGGTCACACCAGCGAAGCTCAGGGGTTATTCCTGGCTCTGCACTCAGGAATTATTCCTGGTAGTGTTCACGGGACCATATGAGATGCCAGGGTTGAACCCCAGTTGGCCATGTACAAAGCAAGTACCTGCTGTACTATCACTGCAGGACCCTTGCCTGGGTTTTCTTTCTGCTGGAACAAATATTCTTTAAGGACCCATAGATGCTTGCCTTGCACATATCAGAAGCAGGCTCCATCTCTATGTGGTCCCACACCCTCCAGGAGTGATACCTGAATGTAGACCCAGGAGTAAGTGGCCCAAACCCACCCCTTGTTGGATATTCATCTTACAATGAGTTGTTCCTCTGCCTGTTGTATTCTAGATGTATTGAGTAGAGTGAGACCGTCTACTTATTCAGAGAACTGATGGTGTATCTTTGTTAGGGTGAAGGTTGGCTCTCGAATTCCTTTTCTGGAGGGAAAGAGAGGAGCACAGGTGATGCTCAGGGGCCACACGTGGCTCTGTGCTCATGGATCACACCTGGGAGTGCCAGGAGTCTATATGTGGTGAAGGGACTCGAACCGTAGTCACGGCTACTGTCACAGGCAAGGAAAGTGCCTTATCCTCTGTCCTCTCTCTAGCTCAGCTCTTGAATATCTTAATCTTTGTCTTTTTACTTCATTCATTTCAGAAGCAACCTCCTCATGGCAGCCTCACAATCTTACATTGCACAGCTAGGTTAGGATAGGAATAATTAGGGTGGGGGTAGTGGTTGGGGAATTAATTAAAGTGGTATTTCTATTTCTTCCTCCTATCCCCCTCGATCTGCAAGGTGAAGTGCCCTCTGAACTCCTGTGCTTTCTCTCCAGTCCTTTTCCCTAAGTCTGGCCTAGAAGGCTGTCAGTGATGTCAGGGTCCTTAATCTTCATCTCATGCCAGGCCTCTAGGAAAAGTCTTAACATTGGGAGCCCCATACTTGGTAAAAGCAGAAATTCTGCTACTGTGGAGGGAGGAAGGGACATGTATCGGGAGGTAAATGTCAGCCCCTGCTCCCTTCCCTGTCTCCAAGCCTGGCTGCGGCCTGCCTGTGGACAGAACTCCAGTGCTGTTCTCCACTCATCCTTAGGCTTCGGGGGTATTAGCTCTGAAAACTCAACACCAGTGGGGTGTTCCATGTTCTGTCTTAGGTGGGGGGTGGGGAGAGGAATCTCTCTACTCCCCGGGTCAGCCCTCAGTGACCCTGCTCTGCCCCAAGGTGACGAGGGTTTCTTTGGCACTTTGCAGAACTCATTGAGAGCGCCATGTACCTCTACCGGGCCACGGGGGACCCCACCCTCTTAGAACTCGGGAGAGACGCCGTGGAATCCATTGAGAAAATCAGCAAGGTGGAGTGCGGATTCGCGACAGTAAGTGTCCCCATGGGCTGATTCCCCAGATACAGAGGAGCTGCTGAGGGGTGGGCTTCAAGGGTGCTGGGGGCACTGTCTTAGAGGCGTCCAGCAGGCCCGATTTCATAGATGGGAGATCGGAAGAACAGAGACTCTTCAGTCATCTGGGGTGGCAGATGAGTCTGCTGCAGGGGGTCATGGTAAAGTGGGGAAGGAGGGAGGAAGCGTCAGGAAAATTGTGCTTCCATCTCTCTGCTCTGCCCACCTTGGCCACTCAGGGAAAAACCTGATGTGGGCCCATTGGTCAGCTCGCTACAAGCACCTACAACTCGGACACTTGCATCCCACCAACCCCACGTGGCAGCTGTCAAACCATGTCTGAAGCCCACTTGTGCTGCTGCTCCCCATCACCTAGGTCCTCAGGGCCCCGGACTCAGGCCCGAGCGAGGAATGGCTCTCTGCAGGAAAGGGCTAGCCAGTCCTAACCCTGGCACTGGCATTCTGGGTCCATTCACCATCCCTCATAGAAAAGAATTTCAGAGAAAGTGAAATAGCGAAATAAAATAGTTTTATTCTTAAAACTGTAGAGAAATATGAGGGGAAAGAAAGAGGGATACGTGTTCACACTCCAGGGTGGAAAAAGCAGAGAATAACTTTTAGATAGAAGACATATCAGATATTAAACTGATAAGAACAGACACTACACTTGATGTTTGCCAAAAGGCCGAAAAGCGATAGAATAATTTTTGGGAGAAGGCTAATACAGTTTTTCCAAATCCTCTGCATAAATGAAAGTTCTCTGCATAGATGATAATTAATCTGAGTGTTGTCATAGGGAAAGCCTCGGAACCTTGATGGTTCCTTTCATATTATCACAACCTTTAGAGTCTCCTAGAGCTTTTCAGAGGGGTTCTCTGTCTCCTGGGGGATGCCTCATATCCAAAGTGCTCAGGATTCACGTCTTTTTTTTTTTCCATAATTTTATTTATTTATTTTTCTTCTTATATTTATTGAATCACTGTGGGAAAAGTTACTAAGCTTTCAGGTTTAAGTCTCGATCATACAATGATCAAACACCTCTCCCTTCACCAGTACTCATTTTTCACCACCAAGAACCCCAATATATCCCCCCTCCCAAACCTCCCAATGCCTGTGAGGCAAATGATTTCCACGTAACTCTTCTCTACATTGATAACATTCATTATTTTGACAAAAGTTGCACCATTATTGTTTAGAATTTTCCCCCACCCCAACAATCAGAATTGCTGAAAAGGCATTGCGAAATACTTTGTTTTCTATAGCTGGTCATGAGAATCATATAATGTCGTGTGGCCCCAATAGCGACTGTGCAATTTTGGATTTCTGCAAAGTGCCAGATAATTATGAGGTTGGTTTCTGTGTGTCTGGTGTTATGGCTGTGTCAGAGAGCCACTCGTGGGGGGCAACTCATGACCTCAGTAGGGTGTGAAGGACGAGCCGGTACCACTCCCCCTTCCCATGAGACTGCAGTTGCCCCGTCACCGTGAGCTCATACCTGGCTTTCCAAGCTCTGAGGCAGCGGCCACCTTGCTGCTGGGGGGAGTAGGGGGGAAAGCAGAAGGGAGCAACACCCTTTCCCTCCCAGGGAGGCATGGTGCCATAGTTTAATGCATGGTCCATTCACTTTTCTGCCTCAAGCTGCCGGGCTCTGGATTAAGTTCTTTTGCCTCTGGAGCCATGGCCATGCTGGAGAGTTGCTTGTGGGGGGCAACTTGTGACCTCGGTAGGGCGTGAAGGACAAGCCGGTACCGCCCCCCTTCCCATGAAACTGCAGTTGCCCCGTCACCACCGGCTCATACCTGGCTTTTCAGTAAGCACTGAGGCGGTGACCACCTTGTATGCAGTCCAGATGCATTTCTGCTAAAAGCCGCTGGGTTTCGAGATTTGTTTCTGAGTGTCTGGGATCATGGCCGTTAATCAGCTTGCTCAGGAGCCAGAGAGGCCGTTTGTAGGCAGCAACTTGGGGTCTCGCTGGGATGGCAGGGAAAGGACCAGTTCCACCCCCATCTGGTGAGGCCCCGCATGTCTCATCACTGCAGGCCCAAACCTGACTATCCAGTGGCCTCCGGAGGATGATGGTCTCCAGGCCGCCAAGGGGAACAGGCCAAGGCACAAAACCTATTCCCACCTGGAGTGGCCCAGTGCCAGTAACCTACTGTAGGAACAGGATGCATTTCTGCCAAAAGCCTTTGGGTTCCGAGATTCGTTTCTGACTCTCTGAGATCATGGCCATTAAGCAGTTCAATCAGGAACCAGAGAGGACATGCCTCCAATAATATAGCTGAGCCGGAGGTGGTTTGTGGGTGTGTCTCCCACATACCTAACTTTTGGCCGTTTACTTTCTTGGTAAACTTTGCCACAAGTTTTTGGGGTCTGGCCAAAGGCAATTTTGGGGTATCTGAAAGTCTGACGGTGCCATCAGGCTGCTGATGCACTCGCCTCACAGGTACAGATTAACCTGCTGGCGGCACCATACCCCCAGGATTCATGTCTTAACAGGATGTGGTCTTCATGCCTTTGGGCTACTTCAGGGCTGTTTTATTTCCCTAACGCTCATTGCCAGGGCCTCTCTTGCTATCTGCCGGCAACACTTCCATAGCTAGCGTTCCTTTGCTGGGATCTTAAGTCTGTGCCCTTGACATTCTCCCTGCAATCAGCGATCCTTTAGTGGCCTGGATAGGTGACTTTGCCAAAGTAAATTTTGAGAAAAGGCTGATAAAATGGCGCCTAGATGGAAAATAGAGTCTCAGAGTCTTAAACCCAAGTTTTAAGGAAATAATTGTACAAGTTTCACAGGTATTGACTGAATGTCAGATGTGGATCGAGCCCCGAACTAGGTCAGAGGGTTCTAGAGATGAAGAGAGACTGACACTAAAGCCCCTGAGCTGACCAGAATGACCATGAGCATGTATTAGGTGACCAGTGGAAGGTTCTGAGCAGCAGCAGTGACGAGCCAGGGGGGAGACCAAGGCAGGGCCCCAGCACACAGTAAGCCCCAGGGAAGAACCTGGAATCTGCTCTGCTTGGTAGAAGTTCAGCAGTGATCTGACCTGATCTTTATTTGGAAAGAGCACTGGCCACTCTGGGGGGGTGGGGGGGAGGGCGGGGAATAAACCAATGGGGCCATCCTCAGGGGCCCTGAGCAGGAGAGATAGAAATAAACAAGACTGCAGTCATGTAAAAACCAAATGTGCGAGAAATGAGTCTGGATGAAATCCACCCCGAAAAGTCTGAATGTTTTGTAGGTCTGGGATTGGAAACAACCTACTTCTCCTTCAAATATTTGTCCTCTGATTAGATTCTATAAGCTAGATATCGATGTGTACTTTTAAAGACCCATACATGTAAAGGGGGCATCAAACGCTGATACTTTTTAGTTTTCAAATATGTTGCATTTGTGAAATGCCAGAGTAGATAAGCCCACTGGGGCTTTTTTTGGGAACGTTCGACGTTTTTCCCTGAAATGAAGCCCTTTGGAGGTCTTCCAAAGCCAATGATGGGAATAGGCGTAGGGCTCCCTGACCTTCGTCAAACAGGGTGAGAGAGTCGTGCTGTGTGGATAGACCATGTTTTAGTCACACTTTGGGGGAATGAACTAGAGATCCACTAAAAATGTCTTTTAACAAAACATATTGCTAACTCTGAAAAGCCGAAATGTTTGTATCAAGTAAACTCACTCCTCCGTGATTGGAAACGCAGAATGAATTTAATTTTTCCCCCAAGACTCCAGTTGTTCTCCACAACTAGATCTTGGTAACCACTTTCTTGCCTTTCAAGGGACGTTGATTCAGCAGACTGCTACACTTTTACCTTGTTGTGAAGAATTAGCTGTGATCACAGTCACAAAGGGGAAAGGATCGTGTCAGGTACCATAAAGGAGGTCAGGAGACACCTTTCCTGTGAAGCAACACTTGGACAGAGATGTGAGGTGGTGAGGACAAAGCTCTGAGGTCTGAAGGAAGAGCACCCAGTTCAGAAGGAGCAACCATGCAGGGCGGGGTTGGGCCAGGCTGGCTTGTTCCTGCCGTAGAGAGAGCGAGGGAGAGAGGAGGGGCCGGATCCTGAAGACCTGTTAGTAAGGACTCTGGGGTTCTGACCGTGTGCAAGGGGGTGTCAACAGTTTTTGGTGACGTGTCATCTAAGAATTTCTGAAATAGATGCACATCAGTTTCCTGATGCACATCAGTTTCCTGACTTACAATGATTGCACTTACAATTTCCTAGCTGAAGGTGTGGCTCAAGTGGAAGGGCCTGAGTTCAATTCCCCCAGGCCCTGCTCCATGTGGCCCTGCTCACCCCTTGAGCACCAATGGGTGTAGCCCCATTAGAACGAAAACCTCATGGTAGGGTTCCCCCCCGCCCCAGCTCTCTGAGGCTGTGAAAGTGAGACACATTCATTAGAAACCATACTAGGAATGTCCATCTTTTCCCAGGCTTGAAACAGAACATTCAATCTTGTGGTGCTGGGCAACAGCTGTGAGGATCGACAGCAGTGACCCACAGTCTCCTGTGCTGCCACTGTTCGGGGAGGGGGAATGTTCGGGTATGGCATGTCTTGTATTTTGCAGCTGTGCATGTCATCATGCCTCCCAGTAACCTACCTGTGTCTGTGATACCCAGCCCTCTGGTAAAATAGGCCTGCTGTGAACTATTGACTAATACCAGGGTGCTGGGCTGGGTTCAGGTTAAACAGTGATGTTCATTAAGTATATTTAAATGTCTTTTTCAATTGGAAGTTTTCAGCTCATGGTGGGCTCATCAGGCACCATACCCTCTTAGCAAGTGAAGGAAGAACTGTAAACTTTAAGCAATTATTTTTCAAGCCACTGTGTACTGGAACCATCCCATAGGCATCAGAAAGCTGAAAATGATGTGTCTGCCACAGTGGTTAGTAACTGCCCATAGGGACCAGTGCTTGGACAGGCGCTGGTCCTCGGGTACAAAAAGGCGGAAACATTTTTGTGTAAGGATAGTAGCAGGAAGCCCAGCTGAAAGCTGAGTTCATGCAGGTGCTGCTTAGGAAAGGGGGAGAGTGACTGGCCCAGAGACCCTCCAGGGCTTGTCTGCCAGCTGGGCGACTCTGGCCACCCTAGGATGCTGCTCTGACTCACCTCCTTCTCCCTCCCTCGTGGCAGATCAAAGACCTGCGAGACCACAAGCTTGACAACCGCATGGAGTCCTTCTTCCTGGCCGAGACTGTGAAATACCTCTACCTGCTCTTCGACCCGACCAACTTCATCCACAACAACGGCTCAGCCTTCGATGCGGTGATCACCCCCTATGGGGAGTGCATCCTGGGCGCTGGGGGTTACATTTTCAACACGGAGGCTCACCCCATTGACCCGGCCGCCCTGCACTGTTGCCGGAGACTGAAGGAAGAGCAGTGGGAAGTGGAAGACTTGATGAGGGAATTCTACTCTCCCAAGAGGAACCGGTCCAGATTTCAGAAAAAAACGATGAGCTCAGGGCTGTGGGCACCCCAGGCAGGGCCAGAGACATTTTCTTCGCCTGAGAACCAGGAGCAGGCTCAGGAGAAGAAGCCTGCCAAGCGGAAGGCCCCCCTCCTCAGCTGCCCGAGCCAGCCTTTCACCTCTAAGTTGGCTCTGCTCGGACAGGTTTTCCTGGATTCCTCATGACCACTGGATGATTTGTTTGTTTGTTTTTGAAACTAAACTATTAATAAATCTGCTTTTGATTAACACGTTTTTCTACTTTACATATTGGGAAGTTTTGCGGTATTTCATCCAAAAGATGAGGCACTAAAAATAACGGTAAGGGACTGGAATGGTAAGACAGCAGGTTATTGCCCTGCACACAGCCAACCCAGGTTTGGTCCCCAGCATTCCATGTGGTTCCCCAAGCCTACCAGGAGTAAGCCTTGGACATCACTGGGTATGGCCCATAAAACAAAATAATATAAAATAAAAATAAAAGCAATGGTGAATCTCGTGTCTTTTCCCCCATACAGTCAGAATAGCAAAATTCAAAATTAGCTTAGTTCACAGGTCCCTGGGATTAAATGATAAATTTTCCTACCTTTTCAAATCCCTCTTTTTTATTTATTTATTTTTTTTTTGAGGATCACACCCGGCATTGCACAGGGGTTACTCCTGCCTGACTCATGCACTCCTGGCGGTGCTCAGGAGACCATATGGGATTCTGGGAATCGAACCCGGATCGGCCATGTGCAAGACAAACGCCCTACCCACTGTACTATTGCTCCAGCTCCCCAGATCCCTTTTTACTGGCATCTTTGGCTGTTGTTAGAAATATATTTCTTAGGGGACCAGAGAGATAGTATAGAGGGTAGGGTGTTTATTTGCCTTGAACCCAGCCAACCTGGCTTCGATCCCTGGTGTCTCATGGTCCCTCGAGTACCAGCAGGAGAAATTCCTGAGCACAGAGCCAGGAGTAAGACCTGAGCATTGCCAGGCCTGACCCAAACTGCCCCCACCCCTCTCCCCAAAGAAATATATTTCTTGGGGCTGGAGAGATAATACAGGGGTTAAGGCATTTGCCTTGCACACAGCCAACCTGGTTCAATCCCCAGCACCCCATATGGTCCCCCTAGCACCTCCAGGATTAGTTTCTGAGTTCAGAGCCACGAGTAACCCCTGAGCATCATTGGGTGTGGCCCTCCACTCCCCCCCTACAAAAATATTTATTTGCATTATTGCTCCCTGGCCTGGCCTCTACATTTCGATCTCTCCACCTATCCTTCCATGTAACAGAGATTAACTGAACTTCAATGTGCTGTCCCCAGCCCTAGTTCAGTAGGGAATAGGCAACGAATTTTATTCTATGGAAGAAAATTCTAGTGGAAAGTAACAAGTAAATATATAAGATAATATTGTGGAAGGTGCTTTGAAGAAAATAGAGTAGTGTATTAGAAAGCAAGAGAATTAATCTACCATAATAGGGTGATCAGATCATGATCACTTTGAGGAAGTGAATTTTATTTTTTAGAATTTTAAAATTTGGGGGGGTCAAATCCAGTGATGCTCAGAGATTACTCATGACTCTGCACTCAGGAATTACTCCTGGTGGTGTTCCAGGGACCATATGGGATGCCAGGGAACGAATCTGGCACATGCAAGGCAAGTGTCTTACCCACTATACTATATCTGCAGCCCCTGTCTTAAAGTTTTTATTTTGTTTTGGGGCGGCCAGCCCAGCAGTGTTTATAGCTTACTCTGCTCTGTGCTCAGCTTACTCTGTGTTTTGTACTCTGATAGTACTTGGGGGAGCATACGTAGTGCTTGGGATGGAACTAGGTTTGGGTGTGTGCAAAGCAAATGCCCTAATAACTCCTCTACTATCTAACCTTAGAAGTGAGTCCCGGGGTTGGAGCGATAGCACAGTGGGTAGGGCATTTGCCTTGCATACGGCTGACCCAGGTTTGATTCCCAGCATCCCATATGGTCCCTTGAGCACCACCAGTGGTAATTCCTGAGTGCATGAGCCAGGAGTAACCCCTGTGCATTGCCGGGTATGACCCCCCCCAAAAAAAAAGAAATGAGTCCCCCACTCCTTTTTCCTCTGCCCCTCTTGGGAGCCCGGCAAGCTACCGAGAGTATCTCGCCCGCACAGCAGAGCCTGGCAAGCTACCCGTGATATATTCAATATGCCAAACACAGTAACAACAAAAGTCTCCAATGGAGACGTTACTGGGCCCACTCGAGCAAATCGATGAACAACGGGAGGACAGTGATCAGTGTGATCAGTGACTCCTTTTTACTGTCATCCCGTTTGCTGTTCACCGATTTACTTGAGTGGGTGCCAATAACATCTCTATTGGTCCTAGCCCTGAGATTTTAGCAGCCTTTCCTTACTCATCTTTCCCAATGATTGGAGAGTCTTTCAGGGTCAGGGGGAATGAGACCTGTTATAGTTACTGTTTTTGGCATGTCGAATACGCCACAGGGAGCTTGCCAGTCTCTGTCTGTGCGGGTGGGATACTCTCGGTAGCTTGCCGGGCTCTTCGATATATATAGTAAAGGCCCTCCCGTTGTTCATCGATTTGCTCGAGCGGGCCCAGTAAAGTCTCCATTGGAGACTTTGTTGTCACTGTGTTTGGCATATCGAGTACGTCACAGGTAGCTTGCCAGGCTCTGCCGTGCGGGCGAGATACTCTCAGCAGCTTGCCGGGCTCTCCGAGAGGGGCGGAGGAATCGAACTCGGGTCGGCCATGTTGGCTGCATGCAAGGCAAACGCCCTACCACTGTGCTATCGCTCCAGCACGTTTCGATATATATATATATATATATTTCTATTATTTTAGCCTGTTTAATTTGAGGTTCTTCCAGTGTCATAATAAGAATGATTAAAGGGAATCTTCAGGACTAGAGGCTGAATTTTCTATTCTTTTATGTCTTTAGTAGCATTTAGTGACCATCAGCGTAGATTTTTTCCATAGACTTTACTTCTGGAGATTTATGGGGTCTTTTGCTGTTGTTGTTGTTTTGTTTTTATTTGGGGGCCATACCTGGCAGTGTTCAGGGATTATTCCTGGCTCTGCATTCAGGGATCACTCCTAATAGGGCTTGGGGAACCATATAGGGTGCTAGGGATTGAACCAGGTTTGGCCATGTATAAGACAAGTACTATCACTCTAACCCAAGATTTTTCTCCTGTAGCTTCTTACTTTTCTCCTGGCTGGCTCACCAGTTATGGTGCAGGCCAGTAAAAGTAAAGTAAAGGCCCTCCCGTTGTTCATCAATTTGCTCGAGCAGGCCCAGTAACGTCTCCATTGGAAATTTTGTTGTTACTGTGTTTGGCATATCGAATACATCACGGGTGGCTTGCCAGGCTCTGCCGTGTGGGCGAGATACTCTCGGTAGCTTGCCGGGCTCTCCGAGAGGGGCGGAGGAATCGAACTCGGGTCGGCCATGTTGACTGCGTGCAAGGCAAATGCCCTACCGCTGTGCTAGACTTATGAAAAGTGGGGAGCAAGGGATTTTATGCCTTTCTTGAGGCATCCTTGGGGTCAGAGCGATAGTACAGCAGGTAAGGTGCTTCCCTTGCATGCTATCAACCCAGCTCTGATCTCCAGCACCCCATATGATCCCTGAGCTCCACTAGAAGTGATCCCTGAGTGCAGAGCTATTCCTGAGCACTGCTGGGTATGACCGAAAAGCCAAAATAAAAAAGAAAGAAAGAAAGAAAGAAAGAAAGAAAGAAAGAAAGAAAGAAGTGCAGCCAGCTTTCTGCTTGATGCAACTCAGCCACCCTGGAAATGCCTGTTGTTGATTAGGACTGGTAAATTCTATTAGGAGCACCTTATGACATGGAGGCTAGTGTCCCATCAGCTCCACAATACAGCTGTCAAGCTGTATCTGGAGTCCACTTGGTCTGCACATTGTGGGAACTGGTCTCCACCAGCCAAATTCTTGTAGTACCGGGACTCAGAGTGGAATGAGGGTTTTGCTCTTTGCAAGAAAAGGAAATTCAGTACCTACCCAGACCTACTGCTCAGGTCTTCCAGGAATGGTGCCTTCCCTCACCGAAAAAGATTTCAGGAGGAGAAAAAATAGCACAGCAGAATAGTTTTATTTAGAGAAATTTACTTAGAGAAAAAATGAGGGGAGAGAAAGATAAGTATTCAGGAGGGAATCTGGCCTTCCCCAGAGGGGGAAATGAGAGTATACACCTCAGTTTGAGAAGCAGGCTAGTCTCCATGGTAGAGAACGTGCCATTAAGCATAAGAAGGGAACTGCACAACTCAAGACATGTAATATAGCATGCCTTATGGCACATGTGTAAATCTGTACAAAGATGCACCAAAGAAATGAACTTTTAAACTTTGTTGTTGTTGGGAGTCGGAGCAATAGTACAGCAGGCATATGCCTTGCACACGGCTGACCTGGGTTCAATCCCCAGCATCCCATATGGTCCCTCAAGAACTTCCTAATTTCTCAGTGCAGAGCAAGAAGTAACTCCTGAGCATTGCCAGAACTGACCCCAAAAAGCCAGTAAATAAATAAGATAATTAAACTCTGTTGTTGTTGGGTTTTGTTTCACAGTCAGTGGTTCTCAAGGCTTATCCCTCGCTCTGTGCTCAGGGATCACTCCTGGCAGGGCTCAGGGGACCATAGGGGGCACCAGGGATCCAACCTGCGTTGGCCACATGCAACCTGCTGTACTATTGCTCTGGCCCCTGAACTTTTAAATTTTTAATTATGGAAAATTTGCACTAAATTGAAGTGGAGAGACAGTAATAACCCCTCATGTACTCATCCCCCGACTTGAACAAAGCCAGCTCCAAAGATGATCATGCTGAGCTTCTAGCTCAGTAATTAAATGACTTCTTCATGTGTGTTTCATAAAATTAATTATAAAAGAAGCAGAAAGTCAGCTCACAACCAAGTTTACTCCATTTTATCTATACTGGATTCTTTAGAAGGAAATACCAAACATCATATAACTTTACCCGTTAATATTTTAGAATATGCCTTTTTAAAAAGCCTGCAAAAGTCAACTATCCATTAATATCTTAAAATATGCTATTAGTATTCATTTTTATGGTTTACAAAGATGTAGGGGGATGACCTGGAGAGATAGTATAGTGGATAGAACACTTGCCTTGCACACAACCAGCCCAGATTTGATTGTGGCACCCCATATGGTCCCCAAACTTTCCAGCAATAATCCCTGAGCACAGAGCCAGGA